AACCCCTGGAGAATATCCTCCTCTTGCCATATAACCCTGTAAGATTTCAGTCAGCTTTTATATGAGCAGTGAATCCACCACCTTGTAAATCTCACCTGGAATAGAATCAGCACCAAGTACTTTACCACACAAAAGGAGCCTAATGACATTCACTATCTCCTCTTCAGTTGGAAGTTTAGCTAAGAAGGGATTGACTTCAGCCTGAGTTATGCAGCCAGTGGCTTCAGCATTGGTTGATGGTGGTCTGTTGAGAATGCTATGAAAGCATTCAGCCCATCTCTCCACTGTCATGTCCTTATCACTAATCAATGTGGAAAATAGAGGTGGAGATAGAGGGAGGATTAGAGACCAGAGACTTATGCTACTCAGTCATTATGTGCTTTTGTCCTTTATTAGAATGTATAGGTTTGAATTCAAGTCTTCCTGACTCTGGGTTCAGTGTTCCAACCACTGCTGCACCCTGCTACCTGATGTGAAGAACAGCATTTAGGTCACCAAAATTGGGCTTAGTGTGTGGAGGGGAGTAATGTATAAGAAGTCTGGAAAAGAAAGATGGGGCCAGGGGAAGGCTCTGTGATTTCCTCAGGGTTGGGAAGCTCCCTCCTACTGTATTACTTCCCTTCACTAAGGCAGCTCTCAGCCCTTCAGTGACTTAAAAATCTTACTTCCTTTCAATTTATCTTGTATATACCTACATAGTTGTTTACATATTGTCTCTGTGACTGTGAGCTCCTGGAGAGCAAAGACTATCCTCATCCCCCCTTCTTTATATTTCTAATGCTTAGCACAGTGCCTGGCATACAGGTGCTCAATAAATGTTTACTCACTGACTGACCACCACTATTACCTGCTCCCTAAAGGTCTGCATTAACTGTCCAGAAAGACCAACTTAAAGAATGAATCCTCCTAAAAGCTATTAATATCAGAAGTACACATTTATTAAGTGGCAGACAGTGCACCAGTGAACTAGTGGACTAGTGAAAGGGTCATATGAATATATTCATTGCACATAGAGATAGCCTCCTATCCCTAACCACTGGGTTTAACTGCTTAGGGGCCACACCTAAGCCTACCAAATATGGCGGTGGCTGAAGGCAGTTTCAAGGATGCATCTAATATTATAGCCTTCATACTGATTGAGGGACCTCTACTCCAAAGCTAGGAAGGATTCTTTAAACGAGTTCAAGGATCTGTCCAGCATTGTTCAAAAGGTAAAGGGAAAAGAGAAGTATGTTCTGAACTGGAAGGTAGCAAGTGAACAAGATTGTTTAAAATGTATTGGAGGCTGAGGAGGCAAAAAGGGGGGAGGGGGCCGTAACCTAAACCTCTTGAAAAACAGTACAAAAAGCTCCTAGATCCTAGAAGGAGGCTAAGTCCGTAAGAAGGTAGGAAGAGAAGCATTAGTGATGAAAAATGACCTGAGTTCCTTAGATATCTCAGGAATAGTTAGACAAGACATGTCTGTACCGGTCCAAACTAAAGAGTCCTCATTTTCATTCTCATATTCATGAACAGTGAAACAATTGTGCTACCCACTAGCGGCCGAGACAAAACCCACTCATTGCAGTGAAGGACAAACGCGTTTGCTCGTTCAGTAGTACTGGTGTCTGGTCTCTAATCCTCTCCCCATTTCCTCTTTATTTTCCAGATATTTGGATACCCAGTAATATTTTGTTTAAAAAGGGTTTTATGATCCAAAATCTTTTCCAAAGAAAATACTTCATGAAAAAATTAATGGGACCACAAATTGACCAGTTATGAGTCTTGGAGGTGTGAAATGCAAGGAACTGAGAAAATGAATAGAGGTCGTTCGGTGAGCCAACAAGCATTTTTTAAAGCACTTACTATGTTCCAGGCACTGTGCTAAGCTCTGGTGATACCAAGAAATGCAAAAAATATGGTCCCCATGAACATTCTAATGGGGGAGACTCTATGTAATTAACTATGTGTAAATAAGACATATACACAGTAGATGGAAAGCAATCTAAATCTAAACTAATTTATCCTAGAAGGTAATTTAAAAGCAGAAAGCATTAGCAACCAAGAGTACCTGGGGGATCGAGCAGAAGGTGGGCTTTAAGCTGAGACTGGAGGGTAAAAAATATAAATGTTTTCTGTAGTAAATAAATCCTCATACAACATGTATAATTACAAGCTACAGCTGTTGTCTGTATACATTGGATGAAAAGACAAATGAAATAAATTAGGGAGATATTAAATTTCTAGAAGCAGTTACATTTTATAGGAGACAGAGTACTTGTCTTGACATTGGGATGAACTTGGTTTGAAAACCTCCTTTGACACTTACTGGCTATGAGACACTGAGGAAGTCATTTAACTTGTGTCTCAGGTAATTTCCTACAAGAAATCTTTTAAGTCACAGAAGGATAGAGGGAAGTGACACACTGGGAGGGAATTTCCTAACCTTGAAGAAATCACAGGTCCCCAACCTATCTTTCCAGACTTCTTACACATTACTCCCCTTCACACTCCAAGTCCAGTGTTAATGGCCTATATGCATTTTCCACATAAGGCAGCAAGGTGCAGCAGTGGCTGGAGCACTGGTCTCACAATCAGGAAGATCTGAGTTCAAATCTAGCCTTAAACACTTAATAAGCTGTGTGACCTGGAGAAATCACTTAACCTCTGACTGCCTCAGTTTCTCCATCTATAAAATGGGTATAATTATAACACCTACCTACTTGGGTTATTGTGAGAATCAAGATATTCATAAAGCACTTAACAAACCTTCAAGAGACATATATTTATTAGTTATTCTTATTTCCCATTTCCATGCCTTTGCATTGGCTGTCCTTCATGCTTGGAATGCCTCTATTCTCACTTCTAGTCTTAGTCTCCAATACTCAACTAAAGAGCCAGCTTCCATCTAATGCCTTGTGTGGTTAGCCCAGGTGCTAGGTTTTTCTCTCCAGTGTTACCTTGTATTTGCTTTGGATGTATGTGTGTGTGTGTGACTACGTAGAAGCAGCTTGGCATGGCAGAGAGCAAGCTGACTTCAGAGTCAGGAAGATCTGGTTTCAAGCACATTCTCTGACAGTGGCTCAGTGACACTGGACAGGTTACCTGACCAGTCTGTGCTCTGGGCAACTTTTTAAGATAATAAACTAAACAGAAGGTGCCAACCTGCATTCTTCAAAGGGAGTTCCCAATGCCAGTGCAATCACAGGTTGCATTCCTATTAGATCATGTATGCGTGTATGCATGCATGCACATGTGCACATATATGTATATGTGTTTATATGCATATCGTTTGTATATCTGTGTTCATGCATATATGCATTACAGGCATATGCAACACATTGTATATATGTGTACTTGTATGTATATTATAGCATGTGTATCTGTACTTATATGCAAGCATGCATGTGCACATGCATGTTGTATATATGTGAATGTATGTGTATAATGCAGGCATTTGTTTATGTATGCATGTGTGTCTACATGTATGTGTTATGCATGTGTCTACATGTATGTGTTAAACATGCATGTGTGTTCATGAATGCACACATATGCATGTGTATTTACATATAGGTACACGTACATGTGTAGGTATATATGCACACATGCTGTCTCCCCCATTTAAATATATGCTTTTTGAGGGGAAGGACTTTCACTTTCGTCTTCATGTCCCCAGGCACCCAGTGTGGGGCCTGTGATCAATAAATGCTTGCTTGCCCACTGGATTGGTTGACCTTTGTACATTACATTTCTGTTTTGAATTCCTTTGTGATTTAATTGAAGTTAAGCAACAGTGCATTTCTTTACGCCTTTTCCATGAACGCATTAAATGCACTTGATGTAAAGTCTAATAGGAACCAGCCTGAAGATCCCACGCAATTAAAACCATGTTCCCAGTTACTGTCTCGTCCTCTTCTGGGTGGCAGCAACAAGAGACCTGCTTTACTGAGGCAGCAGAAATTGCAGTGAGAAAGGACAGTCTGCAACATAAAATAGCCTGTGGTGTGTCTCATTCTGTATTCCAGTGAAAATTGTAGTTGTGCTGGGGAAAACAGAAATAGAATATAGCTAATCTAAATATCCTAAGAATTATAACTTGAATGCACCTTAGAGCTCATCTATTCCAGCCACCTCATTTTATAGATGAGGAAACTGAGGCCCAGCAAATTAAATGGCTGTCCTAAGGTCACACAGTTACATTTTTGGGGGCACCATAACAATAATAGCTCGACTGTATTTTGCACTTTACAGTTTATAAAACGCTGTCCTTATGATAAGCCTGCAAGTATTCTCATTTTACAAATGAAAACACTGAGGTTGTAAGCAGGTTATGTGACTTTCCTAAGGTCTCATAGCCCATGAGTACCAGAGTCAGGCAGGGATTATAAGATCAGAGGTAAAAGGGACCTGTCTTCAGCTTTGGGGGACACTAGGACCACTGTCTAGAAGTTTCTTCTATCTTTGTCTTAAGGCAGGACTTCAGAGACCATTTAATTTAAGCCCTCCTTTTTCACAGACTTTGAAAGCTATACTTAAAATAATGTAGGGTCAAGGCAAAGCTGATCCCCTCAATAGAGTCATCAGCTCTATTATAGGTGTTCTGGTTTCCCAAATTTACTTGTGCACATCTTCACCACAAGTGCCTTTTTCCTGAAAAGGTGAAAACAGCCTTGTAGAAGATAATGAAATGTTGTATTCAATACATTCATTATACAAAGGAAAATATTTTCCCTGAAAAATAAGGGGAAAATAAGGGGACAGAAGTGACTACTTGGTCAATGTGGAAAAGCAGTGGTGCTATTACTATAATTATTGTATCACATCAATGGGACCAAGGAGGTTTTCTTTTCCAAAAGATAGACCAAACCTTTTGCATTTTTACACTAGACCTTTCATTATATCACTCTGAGACATAGACAATCCATGTTCCAATTTTTTGTCCTGGAGAGCAGGAACAGCCTCTGAAATGTCATTAAAAGGGGCAAATTCAGTTACTATTGTGTCTTCACAAAAAAAGAACTCTAGCCCAATAGATAGCCCAGCAGTTTCAAGAACATTTTCTCCATGAAGAAAATCAAAAGGACATTCACACAGTCAATGCATAGAAGAATGAACCTATTGATCCTGGGAGTATTTGTTGCCTCAGATAGGTCTAGGACTATGAAATCTAGACCTCTTATTGTAAACAGGAAACTAGTTGCAAGTCCTTCCATAATATATTGTCCATTTACTCTATATGACAAGAAAGCCACCAATTTCTGGTGTCCATGTCCATCTGTCATAGATCCAACATTAGGAGGTTCCATAATGTTATCACAAATTATCTGTCCAGTGATAAGACAGTAAGACACCATCACTAGAGAGTGCACCACCATAGCCAGTGGTATATAAGCCCCAGACGGCTTCTTCAGCTTCAGGCTGGGACACTTGAGAACCACAAAAAGCATGTAGTACAGCTTCTCCATGTTGGTGGTGGCGTCTCGAAGCCCAGACTCCCTCACTCCACAGCACTGGCCCTAACATTGCCCCAGTTCAATGTTCTTTACTTTGGGCCAAACCTATTATGATATAAGTAGCCATAGTGTCCATGGGTGGCTCTCTGGTTGCACTGAACTCTTGGAGAGGTGCCCTACCCAGGCTGACCCTCCCAGACGATACCTGCTCTGGACCAAGCAAACTTTCCCTCTTGTGTAGTAACCTATTTCCTCTCTCTGTTCAGCTTCTGTTTTCCAAACTAATCTGATAAAGATATTTAGTGCTAATCTTTAGCGGGCACTAATGGCTTTATGGCTCATCTCTCTCAGATAATGTATTTGGAAATTTAATGAGGGCCTCTGGAGAAATTGCCTTTACTACAAAGAATAACACAAATGGTGGGAATTTTAGACACTGAGCTGGCTGTTAAGGAAAACATTTTAGGGTAGGCAGGCCTTTGGGCATCCTTCAAATTAATCAATCAGCCAATGAGGGTATCTTAACTAAAATCCCACTCCATAGGTGATCAACTACTCATCTTGCTAATAGGGCCAGATCTGATCAGCTATTCAGTGGGGATTGGGGGAAATCTTTAGTTCATGCAGATGACAGTCAATCTAATTCATTCCAAAAGCACTTATTAAGAACCTACTATGCCCTGATGTTTGGGGTGGAGGGAGAGGCTTATAAAGATGTGAAGCAGGGAGGAACACTCAAAACATTAGATAACACAGAAAATACAAATGCCCCAAAAGATAAGAATGATAAGCCCAGACCAACAAGGTAAAATTCATTAAGATAAATGTAAAATTTTACATTTATGCTTTTAAAAAATGAATTACTTAAATACATGGTGGGGAAAATTTATGTAGAGAACAGTTTATATGAAAATAAATTAAGGGTTTTAGACATAGCTATAAGTAGCAATTCTGACAGAGTAATCCAGTTGAGGTGGGGAGAGATCTTGAGATACTGCTCTGTGTGGGATGAGACAGAAATCTTGGTACATTCCCCTCAGGGTGCCATGCAGCCACTTCTAAGAGAGCTACCATGAAAGAAGAGGAGCGAGACCAGTGGACTGCAAAAAAGCCCACCCTATTTTTTTTTTCCTATTATCATGTACACAGTTAATTTGTCCAATTATTTCCACGTCATCTCCACCATTAGATTGTGAACACTTTGAGTGCAGAGATCATATTTCTTTCTTTCTTTCTTTCTTTCTTTCTTTCTTTCTTTCTTTCTTTCTTTCTTTCTTTCTTTCTTTCTTTCTTTCTTTCTTTCATATCCCTAGTGCTTGGCACAGCAGTCATTTAATCAATGTTATTGACAGACTGACTGATCACGTTTTATTTTTCAGTTGTGTTCTATACTTCATGACCCCATTTGGAGTTTTCTTGGCAAAGATACTGGAGTGGTTTGCCATTTCTTTCACCAGCTCCTTTTATATATGGGGAAACTGAGGCAAACAGGGTTAAGTGATTTGCCCAGGGTCACATAGCTAGTAAGTGTTTGAGGCCTGATTTGAACTTGGGGAGATAAGCTTTTTCTGACTCCAGGCCTGACACTCTAGCCAGCATACTGCCTCACTGCCCCTGACAGATCATACTTCTGCTTTGCCCATTTTTTTTTCTCTCTTCTTTTCATCTTTAATGCTTGGGGTCTTAGAGTGGCTAGGCTGTGGGTACCCATATCAGTCTGATACAGTGAGATTCAGAAAAAGATACCAACTTAAAATCCATCTACAAACTCATTGCCATAAAATACATGTGTGAATTAATTTTTAGGTTTTACTTTTAAAAAAGTGAAATTTTCCCATCCAGCAAAGCTATTTGGCTAGATTTGTCATTTTAGGCAGTCCTAGCTCAGGTCAGTCTAATGATTCAGCTTCAGGACTGGAACAAAGTAAAATACTCATGAATCATAAAATTCAGTAAAAGTAAATTTCCATATAATAGGATCAAAATGGATACAATTAATAATAAAAAGAGACAGTGCGCCCCTCCACCACTAGATTCACTAAGGCAGCAGCTGTGGGTCAGAGAGAAGTCCTACAGGCCAGCAGGAATTCCATTAAACCTCAGGAGCAGAAGCTCCCCATTAGACTGCGCTTTTTATGCCTCAGGCAATAAGGAAGCAATACCCTAGTCCCCAGACCAACCAAATCCCAAGAATAGACTCTTTGCTCTCTTACAGGGAAACCGACTAAGTCTACTTAAAACAGATGCCTCTCTGTCTGTGTTATATTTAAGTCTCATGTGTATGTTAGATATATACCCTCAAAAAGAAAAAAAGGTTTGTTTATTTATCCGCATGAAACACACCAATATGAAGCAGTGGTTTGCAGTTCTTTTAAAGCAGTGTATTGTTTATATCACCTCCATTGCTAAATACACCCTTCCCCTTTTCCCTCCAAAAAGCCATCCCTTGTAACAAAGAATAAAAAAGAGGAAGAAAAAAGGCAGTTCAGTAAAACTAACAGATCAGTTGAATCTGACAGTATACCAACTTTTCACACCCTTAATCTCCCATCTCTGTAAAGAAAGGAGGGAAAAATAATATTCACAATGACTATAACAATGTAAATGGAAAGAATAATAGCTCCCAAAAGAAAAATTGCAAATTATAAAGAACAAGCATGGCCTATCCCCCCCAAAAAAAGATATCAGTAGAAATCCCTACCCCACTCCTTTGCACAAATGGGAGGTCTCTGCGTATGGAATACTTCATATATATTTCAAGCTTTTTTTGATGAATTGATTGGTTTTGCTGATTTTTCTTTCTCTTCTCTCTTTTTTTCCTGTCTTTTAAAGTGTTATTTGCAATATGATATGGTTCTCTAGGAAGGGCAAAGGGAAGGGACACTGAAAGAAAATGGATGACGTTAAAACAAAAGATTGCAATAAAATTATATTTTAAGAAAGCAAGGCACATTTCCTCCTCCCTTCTTCAATATCTCCAGTTTTTTTCTTTTTTAATGAAGAAGCAAAAGGTAAACATAAAGATTTACTTAAAAAAAAATTCTAGTTTTATTGACGTCCAACTGGAACTGAGAACACGAATAGGATGCCTTTTAAAAAATAGCATTACTAAGTTGTTTTCCTGTAGTGAGTGAGCTACAGGCTATTCTCCATGGCCAGCCCTAGTCATGGATTGACTTACAAATGAAATCATATTCTGCCAACTCTAGGCCTCTTGGTGAGCTTCTGTGACTACAAAGTGGAAAGAAATCACAGCTGCACGCTTGAGGATTTTATAGCTTAGCTTGAAGAAGGCAAGATGACATGTTAGTTGGAACTACTGAATATTAAAATATTTCAGTAATTAATTCATAGTTTTCTGACTTCCATCATAGTGACCTCATTTGTAAAAAAGGGTTGGACTAAAATGACCTTCTAATTTTAAATCTGTAATCCTATGAACCTCTGACCTTTCATTCTTAGGACAATCTTGATCCCTTTTTATGTTTTTCTTCTTAGATTCTTTGGAGTCTGTCTTATACAATGAGAAAGAAGCCATTTTCTTTCCTCATGTGTCCTAAGGGGTGATGGCCTCCTCCTAGAAGCTGATCATTGACATTACAGCCTGTAGCAACATATGGTGAGACTATTTTGATCAGCTCATCTGTAAAGTAAGGAAATGAGTTAAGGGCAGTCTAACCCTCGAGTTCTGTGGCCCTTTCCCAGTGCAGCAACTTGGATTTCAGATAAAGCCTCATATTCACTATAAAATGGTAGGTTAACTACCTGATGAGAGAGAACTTTTGAAGCCTCCTTATTTTATCTTATCAAAGAAAATGTCTTATTCTGAACTTCAACACCAAAAAAGAGCATTTGCATACATTTAGTATAAAACAAAAACAGGATTCTATAAGAAAGTGTAAATCAATAGTTCATAATGTTTGTTTAAAATAAAAGGTATATAATAAATTTTCATGCTAGTTTCAAAACTGTTCTGCTTTTCTGTTTCTTTTGAAATTCTTTCTATTCTCTTCTGTGCATCTTAAGAAGGTTACAATGGTCCTCTCTTTTTTTCAGGGGGGACATCACCCTTTACAACAACTTTCTCAACAATACCATCATTCTGTAACCTCATTAGCCAAGACAAAGTCCTTTAAACAAATAAGAATAATCAGATAGTCAGACAAAATGAAGCTTCACAGTGGCCCTGTCTGAAAATGTGTATTTCTGTACCTTGTGTTCATTACCTCTTTGTTAGGAGGGGGTGACATGCTTCATTTTAGGTCCTCAAAGGACATGTTTGGTTGATAAGAATTATTCAGTCTTTAAAAACCATTTTTCTTTACAATGGTAACCATAATTAACTATGTCAGGCTTATTGACAAGACAATTTAAAATGATCCAAGTTCATTATTATTCTGCCACTGCAATTGTAGTTATAACATTTTTGTTGTTCAGTCATATCCAACTCTTCATGATCTCATTTGGGGTTTTCTTGGCAAAGATACTGGAGTAGTTCACCATTTTCTTCTCCAGTTCATTCTGCAGATGAAGAAACTGAGGCAAACAGGATTAAGTGACTTGCCCAGGGTCACACAGCTAGTAAGTTTCTGAGGCCATATTTGAACTCAGGAAGTGATTTTTCCTAACTCCTTCCCGGCACTCTATCTGCTATGCCACCTAGCTGCCCAGTTTTGAAATAGCTTATGCTTATACCCCTAGTCAGAGAACAAAGAATTTTCTAACAATAATCTAAAGAGTTGACATCCCAGGCCTTCTCTAGGAAAGGTCACTCTTCAGGGTGCCTCTCAGGGCTGTCTCACACCCTCAAGCCATAAACAAATGTGCAACTAGGAAAAGTAAGGACAATGTGTTTATTTCGAGTTAGATTACATCCCTCAAATTAGACCTGAGTAAAAAAAGGACACAATCAGAAATGGGTTTCAATTGCACCTAGATAAAATAAGGCAAGAGACAGAGGTAAAGACCATTAATTCTTTGTGTCTTGCTTTTAGCACTCCAGCTGAGTACCT